TCCCTGCAGCAGGACTGGGCTGACAGAGGTACACGCAGGACACAGCCCGGCTTCTCTCCCCCCCCGCCATAGGACGTGCGTCAGGCAGGTTTGAATCCAGGCTGGGGGAGGTGAAAGGCCAATGCACTTATCCTTGGCACTGGCTGAGAGCAAAGGCACCCTGCAACCACGTGCTGGCCTGCTCTGCCCTTGGCTCCCAGCCGTGCACGCCCTCATTAAAGCACAATCCACCACTCCATTAATCACAGCACTAACTGGCACCTGCACGCAGGCAGCAGGGCACTGCAGGCGATTCAGCTTTAAACACGACTATTCCCCATTCGTTCTCTGTGCTCTGGCTTCCCAACGCGGACAAGCTTACGTGGGGTTAAGGGCCCGTGTCCGCCCCAGAGCCTGGCTAGCAGGGATCCCTCCAGGTCACACCCCGCATGGCTATGGTACCTTCCAGCCTGCGGTCCCCAGGCCTAGGGGCTGTAGGTGTATCACACCACTGTGAAGGCAATCAGTGCTATTTGCCTCGTCTTACTACTGGGGAAACTGAGTCACAGAGCAGGACAAGCATGCCCAACCATTGAGGGACTGACAAAGCCTGCTTCACCCATGACACGGACGTGCTGCTGCTGGCCAGGTCTGGATGCGGTGACTGGATCTGGCAACACGTCATGCATTGCTGTGTAGACGCAGGCTTTTCCCGCACACTGAAGGGGCAGGTATGCAGCCCTGGACGGGAATGCCCCTGGCCTCGCAGGGCGCACACAGCTCCCAGGCCCATCACACAGGTAATGAAAAGGCAGCCGTGTAATTCCTAGTTACCTCAAACCATCTCTGCATGGCGGCTCCGACTCCTGTTTCCCTCCGATCTCGAGACCAGTGCATCTTGGCAGAGCTGGAGCCAGACTTCGACAGGGGTGGCACAAAGCTCCTTCTCCGTCAAGAGCCCAGGACATGGGAGCTGTGGGCTCCTTTCAGCCTCCTATGTCCTGGCAAAGCAGCCCAACCTCCTAGCTCTGGGGCAGCCGTGGCTGGGAGGACCTGCCAGCTGCCCAGCTTCAAGCAGGTGGGTAAGGGGGGGGAAGTCATGGGGCTAGAAAAGGAGGAAGGAGGGCACCTGGGATCTGGCAGCTGGTCTCCAATGCTGCTGATGTGCTTTACCCTGTACTTACGTGCACTCCTTTTTCTGAAGGGAAATCAGAGACCTCGAGTTTTTCCTCACTTGGACGCCAGCCCGCTGCCTCCAGGTCGAGATCTGGGTCCGTCCCTTCTCCTGCCAGCTGCAGCGAGGACGCCCACGTGGAGGCTTTCCGGAGAGTGCAGCTGCTCCAGCGTCGGGGACAGGGTGTTGCAAGCAAGGGAAGACGCTTGCTCCCTGCCGCAGATCTGCCCGGCAAAACGTACATTGGAAACGCTGGAAACAAGGTCCTGCTACCCCACCCCCAGGGCAACATCCCTGCCCAACCCCAGGAGCCTTATCCCACCACGCAGGTGCTCTCAGCAGCTGCCTTGTGATGATGGAGATCAGAGTTCAAGGCCCTTCAGGGGGAAGTGAGCCTTGGATCTGGGTCTTCGCTGTCCTGAGACCACCTCGCTGCTAGACAAAAGGACAACACGCATGTTGAACCGCTGCTAGCTGCGGTTTCTGGTTGCTTGGTAAGGTGTTTAGCTGGGTAGGTGAGATTCAGACTGTCACGTGAGAAATTGCAGAACATCTTTGGGCAACCTAAAAATAATGCCACGGCCACATAGGTGTCTTCGCGGTGAACCAGAATCTGGCCCTATGCATCAAGGCCAAGAACAGGCCCAACACCTCTCACCCCCATGTATGTGTAAACCTCCAATATTAATTGCTACCCATGCAAACCCAGGCCATGCTTGGCCTCTCTGAGGAGGAAGGCAGGCAGCTGGCCCTTCCCTAGAAAGAGAAAAGAATGACACAGGGTGCAGGATGACACAAATTATATTTCTGAACATTGCCAAGAAACAAATGGGACAAATCCATCGAGTACATGTCACCGGAACTGGGAGTCACAGCTCTGAATACAATGGGGATTGCTTCTGTTTTGTATAACAAAACAACAATTAAAATTAAAAAAAAAAAAATGAAACATCAAAAAACCAAAAATTTCTCGGGTCGTTGCAATTAAACTCAGAGACTGAATTAACAGAAGGAAAAGAGCTAGCCAATACATCGTCAAAGTCATGGCCAGGGGTTCAGTTAAAGAGGAGAAATAAGAAACCGAGGGTTGCATCTGGCAAACCTCAAGTCGTGAAGCACAGACTAGGAGACAGCGTCAGCGGTAGATGCTCTAGGAACAGGTGACAGCTTGTGTAGCCAGAGGACGTATCCACATACAAGCCAATGCGGGACAGTCTTAAAAAGCCGCAGCATCCCCAGTTAGATTTGCAGCCAGGAGGTCTGCAATGACCCTCTCACAATCATTTCATTCACAACCGCCGGGGTGTCCCTGCCAGCGAGCAGCACAGTATGGACACGGCGCTCTGAACGGGACACGTGAAGGGCCTGTTCTGCAGGCCACGTTTCCATTTGCTTTCTGCGCGAGGTGCCGCATCACCAAGCGTCTGCCTCCATGCTACAGGAAAGACCCCCTGGCGTGGGCATTTGCTGCTTGGGACCTAAGGTCCAAGAGGACCTATGGAGTGAAGCGTTTTCCAGCCATGCTACGCAGAGTCTCTATGGCAAGAAGAGGCCTCTGCCAGCCCTAATAAGAAATACCTAGGTTGGCTTTTCTGATAGCAGCTGTGATCTAACTGCAGTGCATGTTGCTTGCTAAGTGACAGGAGCTACACAGACCTACAGGGTGGGAAGGGGCTTCGGGGGTCATCTAGACCAGGCCCCCGCATGGAGACAGGCTTTGTGGTTCCTAAACCATCCCAGACGCCCAGCCACTGATGGGCACGTGCCGCCTGTCACAGCAGCGGTGGCAGCACAGGAGTGACTGGAAAACATGAAGAGTCTGACCCAGCACTGCCACCCGTCTGCTTCCGAGTGATTGCCTGGGACGGAGAAGAGACGGGGTGTCCTTTCCCTGCCGGACAGGCACTCAATCCCCTGGAAGCGGCAGTGGAGATTCAGGGGCCTGAGCTGCCTCCCCGGAGCACGCACATCCTGCGGACGCCAAGGGAAGTTGGGGAACGCAGCAGTGGGGAACAGCCAGGCAGGGCCAAAGGGGGCAATACACCCAGGGGCCAACCCCTGCTGGGGAAAGGCAAGGCCGCGGGCGCTGTCAGCGAGCAGCACGGGTGCAACACGGTTATGGCCGTGGATTGCACACAGACAGCTACATCCATGTTGGCCAACCCCCACGGGGAGAAGACTGACGGGGCCATCTGGGACGCTCTGCCCCTGCAGACTCCCCTGCACGTGCAACAGCAAGGTGCGGGAAGACTCAGCCGACCCTTACACTGACTGGGGGCTTGACTTTGCTTCTGGCTGTGGGCTCTGCGGGGCTTTCCCTGCCTCTTTTCCCCTCCTCTGCCCCAGCACCACTGGAGACGGGCCATTTAGCACAGAAGAGGAGGGGAACTTTATAGCCCGTGGGTCAAACCGCACCCAGGTGTCACTCCAGTTGGGTGACAGGGATGCAGGGGTGGGGTGGAATTGATGCTGGATGTGGCCCACAGGCCCCAGGTCAGCACAGTCCATATCCGGGGGCATGCGTGTCACTGAGTCATATGGCACTTCAGAATGGGCAGCTTCATTGTGCTGATCTGGGACCAAAATGGGACAGATCCAAGGAGGTGCTGAGCACCTGCCGCTGCCCTGAGGAGGGCTGTGGGTGCTCTGCACCTTTCGGGATTAGGCTCTCATGACACAGAAGATGAAAGGTGAAAGGGGCCGTCAGTCTGCTCAGATGAGATCAGCGCGAGTCGGGTCCTCTAGGAAGGAGAAGGCAATATTTGGCAATACTTGCTCTGGGGGAAGAGCTGATCCACAGCCCTCACCCTGCACTGGGACCGGGGTGGAAATGGTAGCACACGGGCCCTGAGTCTGGATGAGCCCAAGCCCTTCCTGCAAGGGGCCAAGGCACCTCAGTGATGTCAAGGAGTCGAGGGCATTTGGCCCCCTATAGAAGAGGCTTGGGCACCTTGCTGGAGGGACCCTGCCGTGCCCAAAATACCCATGCTAGTGACAAGAGAAGTGAGCTCTGAGAATAGAAAAAGAAAAGGTATAAAAAAAGAGAGAGGAAATGCTGAGGCAGGGAGAAGAGAAGCTCCAGCACTCTGCCCTGCAGCCCTCTCCTTAGCCCCAGCCATTGTCACCGCTCAGAGGATTCACCCTCAGTCCTGACGGAAGAGACACTTTGCCCCCCCAGACACCAGGATGCAGCCAGCACACCACACAGAAATGGCCGGGGGATGCTCT